TTTTCCTATATACTCTAAAATAGGAATCGATTTATTTAAGTTATTCCATTGTGTCTTGGTTGATCACTCGGAAAAGTAATGTATACAGCCCGATTCTGTGGAATTATCATATATTATATTATAATATAATGCTTGCCAAGTTAGGTCGTTCTAGAATGTCCTTTTGAATAAAAGCTGGCTGGCACGTCTGGACCTGCCCATCCCGATTAATGCCCAATTAAGCTTTTGGCTGGACTCTCCCATGAAGCCCTTTGCCATCCGGACTGGACTTATCCAGGGAGCGGTTCCTTTTCACCGGGTTCTGGCACAATCAGATGGCTTTCAGTCGGCGCGGAATGCAATCAAAATGAGCTGCACAAAGCCGGAGCCGCATTATCCGATGTCTCTGACATTGTTTGGCCGGATGTCCAGGACGTTAAGGCCCTTAATGAAAACTGTCAGACAATGACAGCGATTTCCAGCGCCCCTCTCCGACGGCCCATGTCCATGTCCAATCATCGATCTGGGATATTATTATTAATATTTCATATAGGTACGGTCGCCGGTCCTGTCTCATTATAAAAACATTTAATAAAATTGCGATTAAATTCGCAAATAAAAGTGTGTGGAGCGCCGGAGTGAAGGAATAACGTTCAACTAATTAAGTTAATATTCCGAGACAGAGGGCCGGCGTAATTTATGGCCATTTGCATTTACATCGATTCCCGGAGGTTGGATGGGAATGGAGTTGAGCAGCTACTTTCGCGTCCACGTCGTCCATGATTCAAAAGTGTCATGCATTATGCAAATTAATTTAACTACAAACAAAAAGGCAATATGCAAAAGTCCTGCAAAAATGTAAAATGAAATGAACGAAAATAAAGGGAAAACCCCGCAGCGGGTGAAGACAACAAAGAGCAAAAAAGTGCAGAGCAATCATGCCTGACAGTGCGGAATTAAATCAAATAAAACATTCAATGCAACTAAAGAGTCCTGTCGCGACCACCGACAGAGACAGATAGAAGCCGTCTAGTAAATTAAATATTAATTACAATAAATCAAAATGGAGTGGACAATCGGATTCCAACCGAGGAGTTCGGCAACAATTCAGAGCGACCTAAAGTTTAAAGAGCTCTGGAACTTGATTTGATCACATTCGAAAATTGCTCTCGGCATTTCAATTAAAAATTGATAAGATCGCTTCAGATACAAAGATTGAAATCTTGTACAGCCTTTAAAGAAATATTTTATTAACTAGATATTTATTCACAATCATTATACAAATTTATACAGTTTCTGATTTAATTCGGAAACTGAGAAAGCTTCCCTCGATAAATATTAAGTTTTTAGGTAACATTTTGACAGAGCGAGCATTGCAAAGCTAATAATAAATTTAAATCCCCTTTTGCAGATTTCTGTAAATGTTGAAAATATAGTTTTTCCGTCTTAAAAAATATCTTGCAAATAAACAAAGCAAAACACAAATTTCGTGTATTTGGATATAAATTTGATTTCCAGGTTGTTTTTCTCATTATTGCAGATGTTTTTATACCCTTGCAGAGGGTATTATAATTTTGGTCAAAAGTGTGCAACGCAGTGAAGGAGACGTCTCCGACCCTATAAAGTATATATATTCTTGATCAGGATCACCTCCTGAGTTGATATAGCCATGTCCGTCTGTCCGTCTGTCCGTCTGTCCGTCTGTCTGTCCGTCTGTCCGTCTGTCCGTCTGTCCGTCTGTCTGTTTCTACGCAAACTAGTCTCTCAGTTTTAAAGCTATCGAATTGAAACTTTGCACACACCCTTCTTTCCTTTGCACGCAGTATATAAGTCGGAACGGCCGGGATCGGCCGACTATATCCTATAGCTGCCATATAACTGATTGATCGGAAATGCCATAACTTTCGTGTTTGTAAAGTTAGGAAGTTGAGATTTTCTATGGGTTTTATATTTGGCCAATCAATCCGACTCACCAAATTTCATAAGGATCGGCCGACTATATCCTATAGCTGCCATATAACTGATTGATCGGAAATGCCATAACTTTCGTGTTTGTAAAGTTAGGAAGTTGAGATTTTCTATGGGTTTTATATTTGGCCAATCAATCTGACCTACCAAATTTCATAAGGATCGGCCGACTATATCCTATAGCTGCCATATAACTGATTGATCGGAAATGCCATAACTTTCGTGTTTGTAAAGTTAGGAAGTTGAGATTTTCTATGGGTTTTATATTTGGCCAATCAATCCGACTCACCAAATTTCATAAGGATCGGCCGACTATATCCTATAGCTGCCATATAACTGATTGATCGGAAATGCCATAACTTTCGTGTTTGTAAAGTTAGGAAGTTGAGATTTTCTATGGGTTTTATATTTGGCCAATCAATCCGACCTACCAAATTTCATAAGGATCGGCCGACTATATCCTATAGCTGCCATATAACTGATTGATCGGAAATGCCATAACTTTCGTGTTTGTAAAGTTAGGAAGTTGGGATTTTTTATGAGTATTAAGAATGCATTATATGAATAATTTTGGAGAATATAATTTACAGAGTATTCTGCAAGGGTATATCAACTTCGGCTCCGCCCGAAGTTAGCTTTCCTTTCTTGTTTTAATTTGAGTCAGAAATTTGCAAACGCACAAAGGATTACCTATACAAAGATTATTTGCCTATCCGTTTCTTATTTTCTGATTGAAAAATAGGTTTTATAACTGAAAGTTTCGTTGCATTGGAAGATAAAATTCTTACTTCCGCACTGAGAAATTTTCAAACTCATAGATTTTCACACTTACCTTTTCTGATATTTAATGCCATTGAGATTTAATAAAAGCTCTTGTTCCGGCAACAGACCCAAAATTAGATATTATATATTGGAAACGCTTAATTTTCTTTATTGCTCTCCCAATTAGATAATTAATTAATTCGTATACTTACTATGGGAAGGAACACAACCACTGCGAAAAGAGCCATTTCTTAGCAGTTTTTGAAGTCCACTTTTGATCCTCAAGCAAAACCACCCATATTTTTCACCTACTTTTCACTTCTGCCCCTTTTTTGAAACAGTTCGTGCCGTGTGCTAATCGATTTGGTCGCAATTTTAACACCTGGGCCAGACTGCAATAACTTAATTGCCTAGTTGACATCATTTTATGCATGCACACACCGGCAAACATGAGCCCCATGTACTTTTAATTGCACATCATCAACAGCTGGATGGAAAAAACGCCGTATGCATAAATTATATATTTTTCATAATATTTTTGCAGCACCAGTTTCGCCAACACTCTAATTTCACTGAAAACGTTTGGATGTGTCAACAAATTTGTAAGCTATCGAATTAAAGGCTGGCGGGGGAATTCCCAAATGGAAGGGAAATGGCCGCAAAACGGACACAAAGTGCTCACATCTGGGTGACAGAATGGTTGTTGAAATTAAAAATGCAGCGTTTGAGTTTTTTTTTTTTTTACACTTTTATTGAATTTATATTTTGTTTTTCAGATCGAATCTCTCGTTTTTCGGTTCAAATTCACTGGTTCAAATTGCATGGCTCTGAATGTGTGTGTGTGTGTTCATGTAGTGTGAGGCTGTGTGTGTATTTTGGTGAGTGTGTGTGCGCGTGTGTGTGGCTCAGTTAAATTGCAGCGCCTTCGTTAATTTCTCTTAGACCTATGCAATTGAATCCGTAACTCTTGTTCCACTTGATGGTAGGATCCTGTTCTCTTACCCTTTTGTAATTATATTTATTATGAATTGTAATATTTCAAAGTGTCCCGTTTCAACTGGAACAACACACATATTTTCCATTGAATTCGGCATTTTTCTTATTTAACCACATTAAAATTGTTTGCTTTTGACGCCATTGTTTATGCTTAAAATTGTATTTAACATATTTACTTTAAAATTGTTTTTGCTCTTCACGCATTTTCTGTTTACTTTTTCCTTTAATTAACTCTACCACAAAAACAAAACAAAAAACATACCCTCACAAAGAAAAGGAAACAACGAAAAAAGAGCTTCATAAAATTAATATACACATATCGACGAACATAATAATGGGGTCAACACATTTTTAATTATCTCTTATCATTTACATATTTATATCGGTTTCATTCAATTACAATATACCATATATTTATAGGTTTAGCATCTGCAACATGGACTTTATTTCACCTTATTTTATACATAGAAATTGTTTTGGTTTTTTTTTTTAAATATTTTTTTTGCTATGCGCTTTTTCTGTATTTCGGTTCTGGTTTCGGTTTGATATTGAATTACATTCAATTTGCTTATAAACAGTTAAACACTCTTTTAAAGTTTTGCTTAGTCTAGTGCATGCGGATAGATGGAGAGGAAAATCAAAGTACTGCCAGATACATTTACAAATACATTAACTTTATATGCGGTTGCAGCTCCCTGCAAAGGGAAAATCGACTGTGAGTGACTTCGGATGGTCTGGATGATTCTGATATTGATCCTTGGACTAGTTGTTGGCCTTTGAAAGGAGCTTAGAAAGTATCGGCTGGCCGAACTTCGCAACATTCAACACTATTTTTTGAGAAGATAACCGGAAACGGGTGCTCTTCTCGATGATTTTATCTGAATTTTTTGGTCTTTAGTTTGGGGTCTTCAATATACCTTTATTTCACTAAACGTCATCACATTCATAAAATATATTAATTTGGTTTTTTTTCGTTCTGTTCCATTCTTTGCTATTATAGTTATGCATACTAAGTGTACCGACATATTCATATCCATATAATTACGTTTAGTATGGAGAGTATTCTGAATATTTTCTTTTGTTTTTCATTTGGAGCGAAAACGTATGAGAAGTTTCCAGTGCCACTAGATTTTTGGGGGCTGGGATGGGATAGGGTTAGACCCTTTCTCTGGGGTGGGATCGCGGATCTGATTCTGATTCTGATTCTGCTTCTGTTTTTTTACTGTGTATCTCTATCTTTCCACTTGCTTGGCTTAAATTTACAGTTACTGTGTTTCTGTGACTGCGTTCTTGTGTTTCTTTTTTTTTTTTTGGTTTTTCTTTTGAGAAAGTCAGTTAGAGAGTTGTAGAGAAATAGAGAGAGATAGAGATAGATAGAGAGAGACACTTAAATACTCGAGTTGAATTAGCAATACGCTTTATTGGATAGTTGGTTAGTTCTCTATGTCAATATCTGCTCTCAATGGCATTTGCGTTTTGGGTTTTCATTTCGTTTCGTCAAACATACAACAATAATTAATATCGCTTAGGCTCTAAACACATCAAAATGCCCTATATATAGGTAGAGATTATTCTGATCTGATATATGGGAGTAGCCAAAAAAAAAAAAAAAAATTCATAGACTAATTATGCTGATTTGCTTATATGTACACATTAAATCCAACAATCAATCGCTAATCTTAGCCCTCTCCATTCGTTTTTAGCTACTTCTCCGCTTTTCTTTCTCCCGTTTTCCTTCGCTTACATTTTACTATAGTCTTGAACTTATGCTAGTTATCAAAAAAAAAATTCATTATCGTACTTTGTCTTGCCTCAAATCGCAAGGGGCCTCCCATCAAAACTTTTCTCAGCTATTTATTTATAATATGTTTAGACACCTATAGCTTATCCTTGTACTAGAGAATGTTTCAATGTGTTGTTGTGTCTGTGAGTGTGTGTAAGTTGGAACCAGCCGGAAAAAAAGTTAAGTAGATGGATCCATTACACTCGTCAATTTCCTTTACCAGCTATCGTTGGAAGAGAAATCTCATGTAAGTTGCTGTATTTACAAGGTGTGTCTGCGTGTGGGTTTCTGTTTGCTTAGTTATTTTTACCTGCCCTCAAAACTCGACCCAAGCGTTACGAAAATCATCTGCTTACCTCTCAAATATTGTTTCTAATTTTTCCCTTATCTGAATTTTCTTTTGGAATCCATTTTTGTTCCACTTTTCCCCTACTGCATTATCTGTAGAAAAATCTGATAAATACAAAACACAATACATAGGTTTTTTGGACCAACTCTGGCTACTTAATTTAGTGATAACAGGATAAGCTCCAGCGGAGGAAAGGCCCACAGGTGGGACGAGAGCAGGACCAAACCGAAAGCCGAAGGCCAAAAACCAGGAAACCAAGGAACAGAAGGGGAAAGGGGGGGAGGATGGGGGGCGGGGGGTCGGAGTAGGAGGAGGACGATTTCCCCGAGCTCCGAACCTAAAATGCGATTCCTGTTGGCAATTCGGCAGCGATTCCGGTTCCCAATCCGCCGAAGAGCTATGTTCCGGGCACCGGGCGCCTCTCGAATCCTCTGCGGCAGAGATCCCCCACCTGGCCCCTCCCCATCCCCTTCCCCATCCCATCCTCGAGGTCCTGGCTGTTCCTGGTGCTTCGTTGTCCTCTGGCCGTGTCCTGGGTGAAGGTGCCTGGTCGGTGGGCGGTGCAGCGGCCGGGGGGCGTGGCCGGGACGAGGGCGGCGGCGGAGCAGCAGCAGGCCACCAGCTGGAGGAGCATCAGGGTGCCGCAGGTGAGGAGGACCAGCGGCAGCAGGACCGGCGGCTGGGACGCCGTGGAGTTGCCGTTGTTCCCGGTGTGCATGGCCGCCGGATGCTCGCCTGCAACGAAACGGAAACGGAAATGGGAAAGAGCGGTCAGTGGGGTCTTGTGGAACAGCGGCACGTGGAACAGCGACACGAACAGCGATTGGCAAGCAAAGATGCACCCCTTAACATTGAGATACCATTTATTTTCCAAAAGTTTGTTAATTCAAAATTAGTTTTTAACATTTTACGTACATTTTCAGAGATTTAGCCTTTCAATTAGTTTAAGCCTTCGCGTCTCAATACAATCGTTTAAAACCGGTTGAAATTCTAACTCAGATAATTAACAAGCGATTCACATTTCATAAAGGGAAACATCATGTTTTAAAAAAAAAATTGTATAACGAATGCAACGATGTCTGACATTTCAAAATGCGACCATTACTTCCCAGGTTTTTAATCAAAAAACCGAAAAATCGAACAGAGATTTTCCGGATTTTGACCAAATTTTCATAAGGGGTAACCTCATGATTTATTTCAAAAAAAAATTTGTAGCTGTGAATGCCACTTGATTGGAAATTTTATAACTTATTTAACGATATACGACACTCCGACATGCGACCATTAATTCCCAGGGTTTTGATCAAAAAACCGAAAAACGAACTGATTTTTTTCGGATTTTGGCCAAAATAATTTTCTTAATTTTAAAATTACCCTCTTGATATTTTCCAAAAAAAAAATTTTTTAGCTGGCCTCTGGACTGGAAATTTTATAACAAATTAAAAAAAAAACAAAGATCGAGTTATTTTTTCGTGCTTTTGGCTATAAAAAATGGTTTAAGGATAATACAATTTTGTGTAAAAAAAAATCATGTATACTTCTTTTAATAAATTAACCTATATAATAATATAATTAGTTTCATAATTTTTAACAAAATATAAATGAGAAAGTGTATTTCAGCTGATACAACAACGTCTCAATGCTGATTGATTAACTGCTGGTCAACCAAATTGAGTGGCCAAGTAAGCAGCAATTAAATGACTCGCCAAACGAAAATATATGCAAGCTATTCAGATAGTTGCGAAACAATCAACAGACTGGATGCGATGGAAATCGCCACAGACCCATAAAAAGCAGCACAAGAAGTTAATTTGGAAGTGGACTGCATCTCGCAGATCCACTAAAATACATTGATTCGAGATGAGACGAGACGAGAGCAGAGTGGAGTGGAGGCGAACTTGGGCCTGCAGCTGTATCTGCATCTGCTGCCACTGCCACTGCCATTGGCCCCCGTGGAAAATCCAGAAGCTTTATTGCCTATTAACTTAATTGCCGGCAATAAAAACGCCAAGACTGGCTAAAAAAGGCGAGTGGCGGCAGCAAAAAACAAGAGCAGCATTCAAAAACTGCCCAACTACTTCGCGGAACTCGACTGTGTGGGTGGTTTTGGTTTGGCTCTGAGTTTGGGTTTGGGTTTTTGGTGGGTGGCCCAGATGGCAGATAGGGAGCCATAAATTCTGGCATGAAATGCGCGATAGTCTGTCGTCGAGGCGGATACTGCTGCCATACTGCTACTTCTATAGCTTCCATAGCTCCTATAGCCTCAGCCGCCGCTTCAATTATCATGCATCGTTCGTCCTTTACGAGTTCGTTGATGCCCATCATGAGCTGTTACTTAAGAGTCCGTCTGCGTCTGTGTCTGTGTCTATTTCCCTGTGTGTGTGTGTGTGTGAGTGTGCGTGTGTGACTGGGCCGCACGGTGGTGCTAGTACACCTAGTGAAAGCACTTTCTCCGCGACTTGAATGCTGATTATCGCGCCACCACGCTGGCAATAAAACCTCCAAACTCGGAAATGCTGAAAGAAAAATGGCTGCACCAAAAGTCCTACTGATCATGTATCTTTAAATCAAAAATGTTATGTCCTTCGAAATTTACAAGCAACTAAAAAGTATTTTAACTTAAGCTGAAAATTAAACCAAATGGATTATTAATAGAAGGAAATGGTAAAAACCAATTTCTAACAAATCAAATTTGTACAAAACTATGATGGTTTGGAAGAATTGCTTTAATTTTTAATAACAAAAAAGTTAAAACACATTTTAAATACTTAATTTACTTAAATGTTGTTATTCATGTATTGATTAGCAAATAAATCATTCTTATATCTCTTACCAATCCAAACAATTAAATAAGAAAAATGTGCAACATTTTAAATAAAGGCCAAATATTAAGTAAATTAACTTCTATTAAATATCGAATCCCTAAAAACTGTTCCAAATGTCTTAATATTTTTTTGAACCCAAAAGCCAAAAAGTTTTTCAAATGCAGTTCTTCGGTAATAATGGTGTCCACTTGCAAGATTTGACTGTAAGAATATTTGGTGTGTCTGCAATCTTCTCTTGTTGTTTATGATTTCCAGTAAAGTAGCTTTTGGAAATAGTATTTAGTAGTTCAAGGGGCTTACATTCCAAATCTCAAGAGCCACCTAAGTCCAATTTTCCCCACTGTACCTAGGCAGCACGTGGCTGTGCGCATTTAAAAAGTTTTCCCCGCCAAATGCTAAACGAAAACGCCAATAACTCGACGCAGAGCGGATCGTCCAACGTCACTAATTACTGGCAGGATTCGAGGGAGTGGCCCCCCAGTTAATACGGTTTGACATAATTAAGCGTCCTGCCCGGAAAGTTGCAGAAGACAATGAATCCTCGCCAGCGTCGCACTTATGACAGCCTCGGCCACAGTTTTTGGCATCAGTAGTCCGCTCCTTCGAGTGCGTTTAAAAGCAAGCACTTGCAGATAAAAGCGCCATAGAAAGTACTCTTAATTGGATTGGGGGTCGGATTCTGTGTGGTCCAGTGGTCCAGTGCTCCACTCCTAGTGGACTTCGACTTGACCATGGAGCTGAGGCAGCAGTTCAATTAATGAAAATGACTTTGATGTGCTGCCACAGAGTCGACTTTTGTGTGGCTAGGTGTAATGATCGCCTTAAACGACCAAGTCCCGAAAACAGGACCAGCACGGCAAAACAAATAGCTTTAAGCGGCTTTGTTCCAGCTTTGAAGCTGGGCGAAATTATCAATAATGCACCAACCGAAAGGGGATGTACAGAGGGAGAAATGTGTAGCGAAAAAAAAATTAAACAGGCAGCATTATTAATTTAATATTATTTAATGGAATTTTGTATTGTACAGATAGCTTAGTTATTTTTCAAAAGGGGCTTGAAATTAAAAATACGAAATAATACTGTTAAGCTAAAGTTTTGATATACATTTTTAATTCCTTCTTAAAGCTGCGTTTCTTATTTTCTTTTTCTTCTTCTTAATTTTTCCCCAATTTTCATTTAAGATATTGAACTCTTATTACATACGAATAACTAAATCAAAAAGTTAACTAAAAAAGGCCTTTAGAAACTTTATATTCTTGATATGGGATTTTAAAATACGTTGAATTAAAAAAAAAAACATAGAAAATATACAATTTTGTTTTTTAATTGTTGTAACGACCTGTTTCTTTATTTTGTGCTCGCTACATAATTTGCTGTCGCTTTTTTGTTGACTAATTATATGGGTTTTTATATAAAACAAACCAAAAACTTTACTTTAGCAAGGTATCGGTTATGACTTACAATTAAGTTTGAATTTAAGGCTTTCATTTTTCGAGTGTACTCGATTGCTGCAGCAGAAAGTGAGCAGCAAGGACAACAATCGCCCGAATAAGGACTCTGGCCTAGAGCTGAACTCTGATTTCGAGAGGGGAATGCCAAAAACGAAAGCGAACGAATGAATTCGAGATGACAGTCGAGACAATGGATTGGAAGCACGCTTCTGTGGAAAGCGTAGAATATTAAATTAAATGCTAAATGCACTTGTCTGTTTGATTTTGACTCGTTACTGTGAGGGAAATACAATACCAGAACTCAAATCTAATGAGTAATTGATTTTAAATAACCCTTGAAAGTAAATCTATATTTAATTTTAATCTTAGTTACTGAGCACGATAACGATATGGAAATCATTTAATTCAAATTAAACTCTGTAATAAACTAATTTCATAATGAATGGTAAGGTTGATGTGAAAAGCAAGTTATTTGTAAGTCTTCGACTAAATATTAGATAGCATCAAACTGAACATTGGACCATGAAATGGGACTCAGTTAGACTGTCGAAACGAAATGCGAAACCAAAACTTGCCCAACTTCGTGTTCTTGATTTCTGTACTCATTTGCAAAGATGCCGCTGAAAGCTCATTTACCGACTTAGGTATGCTTCGCCGCTCAAAGAGTTCGACTCCTCCGGAAGGGGAAATAATCCCGGAACCCCCTCCAAAAAGAAGTGCCAGTTACCGAGGGGGGTGATCTCTATTCACTGGCACTCGAACTCGAACGCCTTTTTGCCGATTTCAATTTCGCTGCTCACTTCCAGCGGTTTTGGCACAGGAAAAGAGGAGCACAATAACAATGTTACACAGTAATAATTAAGAAAAAAATTGAATTATATATTTCGATTAACCAAAACAGAAATAGAAAAAAAGTTTTAAAATATGAACTACAGTTGTGAGATGGTGGTGTTTTTATAAATTAATTAAATGTGTTAAAAGTTAACTGAAAATGTTTTAAACAGGTAAAAGAAAGCGTTATAGATAGATGTCAAAAATAACTAACAGAAAAATCTCAATATTTGATCGGCAGACCAGAAAGTAAGCCCACAAATACCCAGTTAGATTCTAAATTGAGCCCGTTTGATTTGATTGATTCTTTTGATATTTTTTCTCCGTGCAGCTCGTCAGATATTTTTATTAAATAAACTACTTGGAGGGGGGCGAGTGGGTGGGTGGGGGTTGTACCCCCTCCCTAACATCAATACCCTGCCCTGTGGCGCTTTTGCCCGCAACGCTGAGCGCAAACAACTTGTGTTAATTACTTAAGTTTCAGCAGTTGTTCCACTTAACAAGTTGCCGCTGCCTCTTCCACACTCTCAGATGCCATATCTTCGGCTCCGTTGTTGCTATTTTAGTCTAATTCCATGGCGTATTTGTTGTAGCGTGCCGCTTACACGCCAAAGTCATTTGCGCTCAAGTTGTTAAACTTTTTGCTTTGTAAGCGCTTTTTTCCGGCCTCAGCGGAAGCGGCGAATGCCGGGCGGAAGGCAAAGGGCGGAGGGCGTGGGCGTGCCAAAGGGGGAGTGGCAGCCAAAGCCGGAGAAATCCTCCGGCGAACTGAACGGAGCCCGGCCGAAAAAGTGAGAGGCGTCTGCGGCATAAACGAGTCAAAACTTGCGCAAATGTTGATGCCCAAAGTTTTTCCTAACTAATTTTCTTTGACTTTACTATGTGTGTGTGCGAAAATGTGAGATATTGGCAACAAATTGAGGAGATCTAAGTTGCAGAGCCAATAGAATTGGACATTTATGAAACTGTTCCTGAATACGCTTAAAATAAATTAGACATTAGGCTAAACTGCCCCTGCTTGCTTAACTAGCTTATTCTTAGATAAATAAGGCCAAGTTTGGAGAACAACAAATAAATTATTGCATATATAGTATTAAAAATTTTAATTTAAAGATTTAAAGGCTAGTTAGATTTCGTGAATATATACATAAACTACGAAGCTTAACGTTTCGTTTCACATTCTGTGAATCCTTCTTTAAATCGCCCAAAAATTCAGTATTTTCTAATATTTTTATTGAAGTACAGTTAATACTCCTGTGAAAGGGAAATACTAGCAACATACGCTACCGGTTCGTTAGAAGGCTTATTTTAAGTAAAACGTCAAAGGAAATGATTTCTAAAAAAGTTCACATTTAGTCTGTACAGATTTTCCACCTCTCGTTGAACAGGGCGCCAAACTAAAAAGCAGATTGCTCATACGCAACGTTGTCGGCTAATTGTTGGCAAGCACCCCCGGCTATTTCCCGTCCCTCAAATTCCCCCCTCGCCCATCGTCTCTGCCGGCTTTTAGAAAAAGTTGTCGTCAATCACAGGACGCGCTCGTCTGTCAAATAAAGCCAAACAAGCTTAGTTGACTTTTGGGCGCCGCACATTTGTCTTGCTGTGCCGGGCCATTCGGAAAGTGACCCCCAAAACCCCACCCCCCCCACCCCCCCATCGCCACTAGCTTTCCTGCCCAACTAACCCCTGCACTGAAAAAAGTTTATCCGGAACTTGGGTCCCAGCTTAATCGAATGAATTCGATTAAAAAATAATAGATAGTTTTCAATGATAAATAATAAGGTCTCATTAATTTATATCACTTTTAGACCTGACTAAGACTTGTGGATTCTCTTATCTAATAAGAAACATACCAGATATATGACTTTTACTGAATTTAAGACTATTGATAATTAATTTTTATTAATTTATTCTTAAAATTCTTTGATTTTTGGGATCTAAACTGATCTGTACAAAAATAACTTATAATTGATAGTTTAAAATTTAAGTGTATAAAGTATGCAGTGAGAAAAAAAACGTGGACTTTTAAAATATGCCCGACGAAAGTCTAGATTATAAATAAGACTTTGCATAATTTAACACACCATTTTAGGTTATTTCTCTAGCAAGAAGTGGTATGAAAACTCTACGTATTTCTGAGGCACCCACAAAATAATTATTTATTATTAAAATAAGTGTAGAGTAATTTGCAAAAATTATGCAAATATAATAAATCAAACAAAACCAAATATTACCAATAGGGGGTTCTCTTCAAAGGCGATCCTAGCCAACATATTGGCTTGTAATTTGTATTTTTATGCGTATCCAAGCTAATTTGTTGCCCCCCACTGTAGCTGGAGATCAAAGCGACTCGCAGTTTTCCCCAGTGCACCCACAGCAAGGACAACACTCATATTTAGGTAAGGCAAAGCGTTTTGCATACCGGGCTACTCACCATCGACGATATGCACGCGCACCGACGAGGGATTGGCATTGGAGGGGGTGCATGTGTAGAGTCCCGAGTCCTGCGTGATGGCCTTCTGCACCAGGAGTCGGCTGGTGGTCAGCACACCTTTCTCGGTGACTAATGATATGCCGCCGCGAGGTGAATCGAAATTTATGATCTGAAATAAATAACGCCGAGCGGCGGGGAGGAGAAGCAAACAGCTTAAGTGCCGGGACACAAATTTTTCGGGGCTTCCCTGCGAGATTGTTACATTCCAGTTGTTGTGGCTAGTATTTGTGTTCTTGTGTATTTTTGTACTTGTGTTCCTTTTCGGGATGCTGATGCTGATGGTGATGCTGATGCTGATGCTGATGCTGGGGCCGGCGCCCCTGGCCTGGCATGTTAGTTAAATTTTTATTAATGACATCGTGTTAGTCAAGCCAGGGTGCGCTTTAGCTCCAAAGCTTAGTTATGCCAGGGAAATTTCTTATTTCGCCAGCGATTCCCGAAAAATAACACACATAAAAAATACAAACCGGCAACAGAATTTCCTTGACATTTGCACAACAAAAAATGAATAAAAACAGGGGAGGCACAAGAAACATGGGTTGGTGGAATGAGATTGCGGCTGACCGAAGAATTGGTACCTTAATACCTTAAATATTTTGTGGTGAATAACAAACTGTTTATGTCTCAAAATAATTTATTCTTATAAGAAGCTAATACTAAATCATCTGATTTGTGACAGCTATTGTTATTAATTAATTATGCTGTTGTAAATTAAAGAATGTCTTTGGAAATAGCTTTCAATTTCGATCAAGGTAAGTACCACAATATATCAACATATCACTACGACATCTGACATTTTTCGGGCTAACTCTTAATCCATTTTTAAGAGATAGTTTGACAGCATCAGTTTCTGATAGTTGGGAAAGGACAACTCAAAACACCCAGGAGTACGGGTACGTAAAAGTTTTTGCACTTCTGAGCGACATGAAAATGGACATGGACTAGAACTAATAATCGTTAAAATCCAAGAAGACAGTCGGAGTACCCTTGTCAAACGTAATTATTGATGCTGCTTCTGGGCTCTATTACGACTGTATTATATGGGTGTACTTGGGACAGCCATGAATACAGGTATATGTACGTTTGCATTACAGACACGGGCACATGTCAAGTGGTTCCGTTGCGGTTTCGTGGTGTTTTTTTGTGATTTTGTGGACGTGTGAGTGGTGGTAATTTTTGGGTATTTTGGTTATTTTTTGGGAGTTTGGCTGGGCTCACCTCGCGGTTGTGGGACCAAGTGACTGTTGGCGGGGGCTCCGGTGCGAACTTCACAATGCAAGTCAAATTGATGGTGGATCCACGGTTGATGTGCAGCTCGGGGCCGCCGATGATGTCGGTGACGGGCTCTGCAAGACAGAAGGAAAAGAGCGAAAAATCATTCCATAAGCTGTGCCGCACACACAAAATGGCGCATAAAACATTTTGAAAGCTCATTTCAGTTAAGACCGAGCAACAATAAATGTAAAAAACAAAAGTACCCACATACACACTTTGAAAGCGAAGGCAAAGGGCCAAGGACACTCGCAATCGTCCTGAGCCTGTTTAAGAAAAGTTTATCTACTGTTGCGTTAAATTGTTTTCTTTCCTGCTGCGTAACCAGAGCGTATGTACTAACCATCTAAACATCTGAACATCTAACCATCTAACAACAGCCACCCCACCACCCACTCTGAACTGTGTGTATGTGTGTTTGACATCTACACGTTTGTTTACTTTCTTATTCATCGTAAAACAATTTCTGACTTTCGAGTAAGCGAACAACGGACAAAACAACAAAAAAAAGGCACACAGCAAGAGGGGAATAAAGAGGGCAAAAAGTGAGCTGAATTAAATGCAAAGTGACATCGGAAAAAAGAAAAAGCGAGATGGAGAACAACGGAAATTTCAAATTCAAATGCTGGGCAAAGTAAACAACAAATTGTGTCATTAGTTCAAGGGCATTGATTGAAATCTCGGTTGGCCGTAACTAAAATTGGAAATTTTTAACTTGCCCTTCGCCCTCCCAAGACACTTTTATAAATACTTCTTCACAGTGTCCAAGATACTCTTTCCATACAAAACAAAAATGAAACAATTTTTATAATTCAAATAATATTAATGAAAGCAATACTCTAAGCAATATTTGTTTGCATAGAATGCACATGTGTATGTTGAGCAGAAGTCGAAATTATGTTTTGTTACCATTTTTCTTATTGGTTCTTATTGCAAAGAAGTCATAAACACAACTTTATCCTTTATTTCAATTGACAAATGGTAAAAAGTAAATAAAAAGTTCACTTTTTGAGACTAGAACAATTTATTTGTAATTTTATTTTAGTTTTGCTGACTTTCTTGTTCTTTTGATTATTTTGTTCTGTGTATAAAGAATCTTTCCTCTGTTCTGTTTCCTTGTTCAATGCTAATAAATTGGGATTTCTTTGCAGCCGCCCTCCGATTCTCCACTCTTCTTCTTCGGCTTCTTCTACTCCTCCCTCCCTTCTTCCTCTCTTTCTCCCTTCCCATCGTCGCCATTTTGGGAAGCAGCAAAATGGCTGCTTTAGCGCTTCCGCTTCTTGAACAACTTTCGTCAGCGTGTCTATGTCTGCGTGTCAGGGTGTGTCGGTGTGTGTCGGTGTGTGAGTGTGTGTCTGAAACTGCAGTTACTGTAGTCGGCTAACGGTAATGTGCTCTCTTGGCAGAAAACGCCACTAAAGGTTAGTGAAAGTTATGTACTGCCAAATGGCAGCCCTTTCGCCCCAAGAAAGTGGGCGGTGGACGGTGGGCGTGTGTGCGGCGGTTTTTTGGGTTATGCCCCATTTTCCTTTTGCAACGTGCTCGTATCTCTCAATCTCCATTTGAAGTTCTTTATGCGCCACAGTTATCTCTCGGCGGTGCTGCCGCAGTTCCCCATTTGCCACAGATTTCATCTCCAGATATTCGGTCAACCTGATGTGCATTGCTGCCTCCACTTAACTCTGCGAATAATCCCAGTTTTTCTAAAAGTTTCCTTGCATCCTCCTTGCCACAAAAAGGAACTTCACTTGAAGGTATCTTAGGGAATTGCCTCGCGAGTGCCATAACCAAAAAGTTTGTGAAATGGCTTAAAGAAAATTCAACAATCGAAACATGTAATGAAAAAATTCGTTTTATGTATGGTTATTGCCGGGTGTGCTAAAAATAATACACGGCTTTTGATACCATTACATAAATTGTCTAAAAATAAGCCATTAAAAACATAAGGAAACCTATTTTGGCATACAAATACCACTACATACTTAAGCCCTTATGTTTTCTAGGAAACACTTGGCTAAATGAAATGAAAAACGTTTTCGAAATCAAAATAATAGAGGTTTAAAGGAATGCCTGTACCAATACAAGACAAAGCAGGGCATCCTTTTATTTCTACTCCACGACGAATGATTATTAAAGAAATATTCAAACTCCAATTGATTTTAAGCCACTTGAAAGTCTAGAATAAATAAAAAAATATCCCTATATTTCTTACTGATCAGAATTGAAAAACCGCAATTGATATATTTTGTTTAACGTCTTTCAAGCCTTTAACACTCCAGATAATTTGTCCTGCATTTTTAAGTGTCCCCTTGGTCTGGAAACTTTATTCCTTGAATATTCAGTTAAACGAACAATTGGTTTCGATACGTGTTTGTCCTTTGCATAAAATTCCTTCTTGCAAGCCCTTATTTATTTTGCTTTTCGTGCCTTTTACCTCATGCGTTGGCTGGCCAACAGCTTTTATGGCAATTTAAACTTTGCCGTTTGCAACACATTAAACTTATTGATCCAAAACTGGTGCGGCAACACCGCCCACGGCACCCTTTTCGCTGTTTCAAGCTGAATTCGGCCGGAGTCTTTAAAAACAATGCCAAAAAGGCCCGGCAGTGTGTTGGGTATTGTTGGTGAGGGGGAGGGGGGTGGTAGGTTGCGTATGAAATTGCGGGTCATTCGGCACATGTGGGCGTTATGTGTGGGCGGGGGCGTGGCTGGGGGCGCTGGGCGTGGCTTTTGTGTGTATGTGCGGCGAGTTAATATTAAACAAATATTACGCATACGACACGAGGGAGCAGCTGGAAATCATCAAACGCTTTCGCATTGTGGGTGTGTGTGTGTTTGTGAGTGTGTGTTCGTTTGCTTTTGTGTGTGTGTAGCGCCAAGAAGTATGCATCAGGTTTATTATTTATGCCATTCATGCGGTCGAACATTCAAATAACCCGCCATATCGCTCCAACCACCCCACCTTCCCATCTCACCACATTCCAGAAGTCCCGCCAGGAATTTATGACCTTTTTACTTTTAATTTGGACAAGATAGGGGGCGATATCTGGAGGAGAATTCCATGCGAGCCGGCGCTCGGTCATGCGCTCCTTGGAGCATTCCGAACGGATTATCTTGGTTGATTTTTAGTTTTCCTTCTGTGCCGAACATGTCCCATCACCCCTTTATCCACCCACCGACTCAATTACCAGCCGAATAAGACTCACAGAACTATACAGTTGCGGTCAATGTAGGAGCTCTAAGAATGATATATTTAAATGTTTACCTAGTAAAAATATATTTACATGTTTTCTAACTCAATGCTTATATATGTAAATATGTGTTGATAATTAGAAAACTGACAAGTCATATCCATATTTTACTATGCACCAATACTTAAAGCAATGAACTTTTTTTATGCATTTACTTTGTAACTCCAAAGGTTTAACCTTCTTACATAGTTTTTAATTTTTTTTTAGAATTTGTCTTATATTTTAGTTGCAAGGATCAACTTTTGCTGAACTTGTTAGAGGAAATAATAATAATTGTTCTTGTATTATACTATAAGGTTGTAGTTACCGAATGATTGTAATACTTCTACCAACGGACCAAACAAGGTATTTTGATAATACAAATATGACTTCTTAAAACTTCTCAACGAAAGAACAATTAGGAAAAAAGCTGTCAAACTTTCAATGCTCCCATTTTGACCGCGACTGTGTTTACCTTGGCCTGCTCCAAGTGCGTGACCAAACTGCAAACAGCAAACGGCAAAGGGAGAGATAGTAGGGCAGTTCTGGGGGCTGGGCAACTTCAACTCATTAATCAACGTAATTTGGAGTCTTTGGGAGTGTAAACGGCGCTTATGAATGATTCATGGCCCCTCTGGTATCTCCAGGCCACTTCTTTACCCCTGCCACCGATCAGCCCAATTCCTGGGCCTTTCAACTCGGCTGCTCTTATCGAATTAGTTGCTGCATTTGCGCCTTGCACTTTGATTAATCGCCATGTCAACATTTGAGCCTAATTTGCAACTTTTATGCCGGGGCTTTCGAATGTGATTTATGGCCGAAAGGCAAACACCAAATTCGCAAAGGGACACACACACTGGCGAACTGGCGAAACAGCCCCGAAATTTAAATGCCACATTGTGTTCCGGCGTGTGTTGCTGCCTGTCACTTAAAGGCATGTAAATCAAATAATAAATTTCAATAAAAAGACAAATAAAACCTATCAAACGTGTATGTGCCCAAAAATGATTCCCAAAAGGTCGTGAAGACGACCCGCCCACTTGGGTTTCTCGTTGTTTACAAGCCGATTTTTAATGCCTACTGAAAAACATTCGATATATGATTTGTGCTTGGAGGGTCTGCGGAATGTCTAGGACCTCCTTAAGTCATACTAAAAGCGGAACAGTCGATTTTAGGACTGATATAAACATTTTTATATTTTAATAATATAGAGAACCTTTTAAGACCCTTGTTTTCAAATCACTTCATTCCAAGTCATTGGATCTTAAAATGAATATGATATAATATAAAGGCCTTAAGCCTTTCTTTAGAATTAATATAAATGTTATTTGACATTTGTTATGGGTTTAGATGTAACTCAAAAGATGCTATCATGAAAAAGAGTGCATGCAAATATTTTAAATTAATTTACTAGCCTGAACAATAAATTCCTCAGTTTTATGCTAATGTTAGACTCTTCCTAGCCAATCTATCCAATCCTTTTCACTTTATGTGAGTATCTATTAATTAAGGATATACAATAAATTCGGCTTGTGTTCTAACTGCGAAACTCTTTGGTAATCTCTAATCCGAACCATAAAAGTGTCACCATTTCGGTGTGGACTTTTATATGTTTTCGTTGCTGTCATAAAGGTTAACGTAATGCCGCCTATAACAACACACAAGCACCCACTTAGAGGAACTCGGGGCACGCCCAGTTTGAGAAACTGAAACTGAGTTTGAGACTGGGAGATGGCAAAGGCTTACACGCTCATAAACCTTTATGCGTTTTCAATTGAATTGTCCCGAAGTCCTGGGCGGGTCCCGACCTTCATTTTTCCGTTGGCGGTGGGTTGTGGGTAATAAAATTTGTTGCCGTTGTCGCCATTGTTCTACGAGGCGCGATTTTATGATACCGTCAACATATTTCAACTCCACAATAAGAAAGAGCGCTTAGGACGACCAAGCGATACATTAAAGTGTTTATTTTTGGGCACAAATTTGAAAACAATTTGTCTAGAGCAGAGATGATTTTATAACTGGGTAATGACTTGTTTAGCCGAATAGTTTAGTTTAAAGACGAGGTGGCCCTGGAGTGTGGACCAATTGAAATGGCAAATGGCAAATGGCAAATGGAAAATGGTAAATTGCTCCCTCGGCAAAGCGCAACAAGCTCTTTGGCGGGGAACAATGGGACGTGGCAGGACAATGACAAGGCTGAAACGGTCTGCGGCACGTACTCGGTTCAATAGTTGATTGGGCGACGGCTTATGAACTTGCCTCGACACATGCATATATAAATGCGAAACCGAATGCGAATTGCAAAATCGACTTTTGTACGTTGATTGACCCCGCCTGTCCGAACAATGCGGACAAAAGGCAGTCCTGGCAAACAGCTTGCAGTTGACAGGATGCAAAGCCAGAATCTATCAGCCGTGCATTATAAATTCAATACGTACGAGTATATGCACGGCACACGCACCCAAACTCCATGCATATAATATGACACTGGAATATCGGATGGATTCGATTCGATTCGAATCGAATCGAATCGATTTGGTCGGACGAGAAATCATTGCACATTTGATAATCATCGAGAGCTGTCGACGCACGGAATTGTTGTGTGATTACGGCCCAGGGCAAGTGTTGGCCAATTTAAGCCCTCCTTTTGTGTTACTCCCTTATAAATATACCCTGCACTCCTCCCACAAATTGTAAAATAAATGTTAGCTAGCTAATAACATCATCGTTTCACTACGGCTTCAAATCTCCTATTGCGCTGTCTAAAAGTAGGCAACAATATATTTTTCTTAAGATTTATTTCCTTATAGATCAAATGATTTTTAAACCCGAGTGGAGTAAGCAAGATGGTAATGTTCCACAAATAAAGGTGATATCTATTTATATTTTAAGCAAACAGAACTGAGTTATTTTTCCTCATTTTTTTGCACTTTGTGCCTCGAAAATTTCCCCATATGTCTACATATTCATTACATATCGTCTCTATTCGGTGACGTCTGCTGTCCCCCACATAATTCGCTTTTGCTCCATAAACCTTCTAGCGTTGGGTTTGTCCAGGAAATTGACTTGAATTATTTGGCATTCGGCATATCGCATGTCGCACCCCACAAACCAATAACTTAACCGGCGATTGCTACCCCACCCCTCGAATCACCCAATTTCATGGCGGCTGTCGTCACTGACAAATGCTAAAAACTCACTTCTCCTCCTCGCTGAACTTTCGTCACGAAGGCACCGACAGACGGATGTACTTTATTTGCTGGCATTTGGCACAACAAGGACGATGAGTGCTAACGGATTGACCAGGATACTCTGAGGCACACTTTAAGCAACCACTTTTACATACGGAACTCGACTTGAACACTAGCTAAATATCTGCATATAGAACTTTATCCATGAGTAGGATCTTCTTTCATTAATTGTTGAAATCAATCATTTTGAATGCATTTTTCCTTACGAAGTATTTCCATTTTTAATTAAAGTTGTTACCCAATTAACAATATTTTAAACAGACGAAGAACAAATAAGTTGTTCCCGAATTACTAAGACTTAATAAAGTACACTTTTAATTTGAACGATTAAATAAACCTGAATTACAAATTAGTAAGAAAAGAAAGATGATTTTTTTGACAACTTTTGAAGGAGTTATAATATGAGACATTTTTGGAATTTTGATCCGTCGCAGTTCTTAATTTCTTTGATGCAGATCAGTTTTTTTTCTGAGTGCAGGACAGTCTATTTCGCAGTGTGATCTACAGCCAAAAGCAGAATCAGAACTAGAGCCTGGACAGAAAGTCTCCGGTTATGTGGCGAACAACCACAAATGTGATTGTGCGTGACTGCGGCCAGGGCCACGCCCCACTCCCCCGCTCCCCCTCCCTTACGCCCCCAACCTCATATCCGCCCCTATCCATATCCGCATAAACCCCCACTCGAACCCCGAAGGCAAAGTGTTGAAAGTGGAATTATGTGTGTTTGTGTTGACATTATAATAATGGTTTGGTTTATGTTTATAGTCTGCTTCATGCAACCGTACACATGTTCGTCCTTTCGTCCTTCCCCTTGTCCTTGCTACGACTCCTATTCCGACTCCGATTCGGATCCTGGTTCTGAGTCCTATTCTTGGTGCCACAGAGCACCCCTTGCAACTGCTCCTCCCATGTCCATGTCCTTTCTGACTGTGTGCGTGTGTGTGTGTGTGCTTTGATTACTATTCAAATATTGTGACAGTGTGAAAAATAAACAAATTTGCATTATTTATTTTCATATTTGTTTGCTTTTGGGCCTGACAGTGACTCCGAGTGTGAGTCTGAGTGAGCCCTGCCCTAAAATAAGCTTCCCCTCCCTCCTCCCCAAAATGCGGAAACTTTTCGTTCGCTTTCCCCAAGCAAAGTTCGCTCGTAATTTTTCCAACAATTAATAAAACAAATTATGCATTAAAAAGAGGCAGCGTGGGACGTTTTTATTTAAATACGATGTCTACAAGGAGCCTAATAAATTAGGGGACAGCCGAAAACTGACAGACGAAGGGAGCAGAATGTTGAAAGATATTCATTAAAAAGTCTAATTGTTTTTAATGTGAAAATAAAAACAGGATTTTGAATAGGAATAGAAAACTAAATAACATTTAAGAGAAAAATATTAAGAGCAAAATAAACCAGATAATTATGATTTTATGCAAACCTTTGATTCACTGTTTTAATTCGAATTACACCAGTTATAGAACTTTTTATTAAACACTTTTCTAATATAAACTTCAATAAAGGACCTTTAGAATAACCAAAACTTTAAGAATTTCGTATTTATTTTGTAAAATAAAATAATTTTTTTTTTGAAAACAACGAACAGTTTACAATAAAAGTCACAAACGTTGGATGGTTGAAAAAAAATTGATTTTTGCTTTCTTAATATGCGGTTCCTGTGAAAAATATATGTCGAATGCCTCTCAGTCATCCGCTTACCCCGAACTAACCACAGCTGCGGTCATGACAAAGTAAATCTAAAATACGCAAAATATTGTGTGTCGTGTCATTAGTTTGCGGCGCCTGAAAGAAGGCAACGTTTTCTTGCCATCGCCTTTTTGCCGCATAAGTTGTGATTTATGAGCCGAGGCAGCAGCACCTTCTTCGTCCAGTATCCCAGTATCCCGTATCCGAAGTCCTCCGCCATCTCAGATCATCATGCGTCCCCTGGTCGGTTGGGTGTCATCGGGGGAAACGAGGAGGGATGGGGGGTTTGGGCGGAAAAAAACTGGATGCTGGCGGCGGCGGCCTGTGAAAAGCCATAAAGTGCAAATGGTGCCCAGGGGAATCATCAAACAGCAAAAAGCTGCCATAAAACGACACAAACATGTGCGCAACACCAACACCACCACGCGGCAGAGTGGAAATGGGAAATGGTGTACGTGGGAGGGGCGAGAGGGGGTTCTGATGTCGGGGTAAGGTAGCTGAAACGGAGACCCGGAAATAGATACCCCATCAAGTGGTCAACATTCGTTGGTGTGACTGCCTGTGTGCGTCTGCCCGCTGCCAGATTGGATATCAGTGTAAACATCAAAGTAGTTGGCAAATCACTCACACGTAGCCAACTAAAAGCGCCATGGAAAACGAGCAGGAAGAGAATGGTTAAGATGGGAAAGTTGCGGGCCATCCGTGTGCACGGCATACAAATTGGCGGCAGTTTTGGGGCCACACTGAGCGAAATAACGGCTGGGCTTGATTAACTCGCCGGAGGGGGAGTGGGAATTAATACAATAATGGGGTCAGCCAAATGTGGCTTGGTTTTGTTTTGTGGGGACCACTAAATAAGCTACAAGATGTGTATTCGCAGTGCTTGAAATTGGGGCAGAAACGAATTGTAGGTGATGCCTTTACCAAAACTTGATTTTCTGATGCTTTTGTATAAAACAAATTTGTCAGTACACTCAAATTTTTATTCTATGTATGTATAACAAAAACACAAGAAATTGGGCACACAGGGCGTATTAGTAATATGGACTTCTATATTTAAAAATAAAACCATAAGCTTTTAAATCGCAATCGAATTGATATTGATATAGGTTTCAGAGGAGCAAGTCATATACAAGTCAAATAAATAATGGTTAATTCGGGCTTGTATTCTTCATTCTAATTAAAATATAGTTTTGATTGTCACATACTTGATTTAAAATTTGTAAGTGCTTTTGAACAAGGAATACAATATAATCGTGTGTTACGTCCTAAAAGATTTTTCAGAAATAGCATTTTAAGTTTATCAAGTACTTCTTATTTGGCAAACAGTGCGTATTAGTAATTTGCATTTCTGTATTTGTTAAGGAACTAAAAATACAGATTTCGTTTATAAGACGATATGCAGACGAATTTATATGCAGATTATCAAATAGTTAAAATTTTAAGCTCACAACATTTAAAAGCCTTTCTTTTTGGGAACCTAAACTCTAGAACTACAACTCATTGAAAACATTGAAATAGTCCCCGAATTTCTTGTAATTATGATATGTATTGTCATAAAAAACCCAAAAATTTCGCAGCATGTGAACTCACCAACAATGTTGAGGTAGACGGAGTGTCCGATCGGGGGCGTGGTCGATATCTGGCACTCGTAGATCCCCGAGTCCTTGCGCTGGGCGTAGCGGATGCGCAATGTCCAGTCCTCGGCGTGTGGCGAGTGCATGGCCTCGAATCGCTGGTCGGAGGTGTACGTGTAGCGGCCCACAGTCAGCAGGTGTATGTCCCTGTGTCGCACCCAGGATACCTGCAAGGACGAAAGAGGGGGGAGAGGGAGAGGGCACTTAGTCTGGCGTCTGGGTGACATTCGAAATGGCGACGATGAGCCTCCAAAGTGCAGCGCCAACTGACTTTTGGGGCTTTTAATTGCGCGCTTAGTTATCGATTTGACTTCTGTGCGTGTGTGGCTGATGCTCGATTAAAGGACATGCAGCATAGCACATCCTTCCCACCACACCAACACACACACACTCACACTCGCAACGACACCGGAGACAGTCGCACAATAAACAATTTAAATGCCAAATTGAAATCGAATGTGGCAGGACAACCGTATGCACTGGAAAATATTTCTTTGGCATTCAGGCAAGATGATTTCTTTTGATTTCTATGTTGACATATTAGTATTTTATATAAGAATTAGCTAAAACATTTTGGTTGTTTTTTTAAAAAAATGCCATTATAAATGCCTAAATATTTATTAAGTTTTTATTAAACTTCTTTGTTATTTAAATAATGCAACATTTTTGTTAAACTTTGAGACTTAATGGGGTCATGTAAATTTTAGTTGATCAAATTGGAAAATCTCTCCATAAGTTTTCAATTTTAAGGACCCATTTTTGATTGTAGAATAATTTTCTCAGTGCCTAAGCTCGGCGGATCGCCGTAGCAGACTGCCTTTTGTGGGATTCTGAGAAGAGTTCTCAAATGCTCTTTGAGTTTTATGGTGGCTCCCCAAACGCCCCCCTCCCCCTCCCTCGACGGCTCTAAACTGTTGGCCATAATTACGCCCCGCTTAACGTGCTGCCTGTAGGGGGAAGTGGGGAGGGGGGATGGTAAATCGGACGGCAGACAAATCAACAAACGCATCGCATTTGGGTGCGGGAAAAAGGATTTCGGGTTTCGGAACGTTGACATCGCCTGTGGTCTGCGGCAATGGCGCGAAACAATTGTGAGTGTGTGCGGGTGAGTGTGAGTGTGTGTGGGTGTGTGAGTGTGTGAGTGTGGGTACGGGTCGCCATTGAGGATTTGGGATTGAGGATTCCAGGATTCTGTTGACTTTGTCCCACTGCCCGCATATACATACGCATATGAGGCTGACCAACATGCACAACCACCCATCTACACACACGCCTGGCTTCTGCATGTTTAAATGCGAATTGGAATCGAAATTTTTGGATGATTGGCAAATTTTTAGAGCCAATGGTGCAGGCGGGAGCAGATGTCCCTTTGCCAATCCCCCCCCCCACATTTTCATATTTTCTGCTTAGGAAAAGCCACTGAGGAATAAATGTTGGGACTTTAAAATGATTTGCTTTGAAATGGCACATTTTCATATCAATCAAGCAGTTGAGTTATATCGGTAAGAGTAAATGCAATCATTTCTGGCAGATAAAGCCAAATTATCTATTAACATCCAATTAATTAAATAATATTTTTTATTTAAAATTCTAATTTTCTTAGAATTTCAAACATATATTAAGGGATTAGGTGTCACTAATCTTTTTTCTCTGTGCGTCATTATGTGTCACTAATCTTTTCTCTCTGTGCAGCCACTCACAGCGAAGTAAATACGTTGCCCAGCAGTTGTAATTATTTTAAGGGACTCTCACTGGTTTTCCCTCTGTCAATGCAGCATTTAATAGCACTTTTGTTTCAAAATTCAGTTTACTCGAGTCCCACTCTAACTCACACAGAAACTGTGTGGATGTATAAGTCCCTATGATTATTTGTACCTAGTTGCTGGTTTTATTCCTCAACACTAACGATAGCAGCATGTTTGAATTTGTTTTGCTCTGGGAATTGGAAATCAGACAGATACGAAATGTCATTGACAAATATTGATTAAAGTCTGGCCTACAAAATATACAAAAACTTAATGTACTATATGTCCTGATATTAAATCAGTTTGTTTGTGATTAAATGATTGCAGAAGCTCTGGTATTTAACCAGCTATCGAATCGCAGAATTTGTGATTTGTAAAATAAGTATTCCAATGGGTTGACAGAGGCTCGAAAAAAGAAAAGCTTAAGTTTTGTTGGGAAATAGTGAAATTGTCTACTGTGTTAATTAAGTAATTAGCTTTTGATTTCGCACAAATTGTTGTAAGTATCCTTTGCAAATAGAAAGCACTGGCAACCAGCGATATATAGTACGTATAACACCAAAATTGGCATGTTGGGGCTATCATTTTTGCCTTTTTTTTGGTGTTAAAGTGTGTTTAGTTTAGTCATTACGAACAGCCTGTAATTATTTTGTGCGGCTTTTGGTCTGTTAATGAATTTGTTGTGCAATTTGCACCAATCAGTGAGTGGAGTGGACTAGGATGACGAAATGTACGGGGGAATGTTGTACTCTGTGCATTCCATGTGAAGGCAATTAGATAATTACGACAACATTATTAGCAAATTAATTTTGATTTTATGCGGCGGATGCCAAACGCCAAAAAGAGGAAAATGGGAGGATTGCACATTATGCTCAGTCCTCCGCTTTTCCGCACCGCCAGATCCATTTTCGCCACCCTATTTTTCCCACCATATATAAAGAGATATTCCGGCTGTGTTCGGTGCAATTGCAAATTGCGCATTTTTGTTGCACTTACCATAGTTGTTTTTGGCATTGTTGTAGATTGTGTTGGCGGCAGGCCAAATCATTTGGCAAGGAAATGTGTGAGAATGGAAAGAGAAGTCGGGGCTTTGCAATTGCCTTGGCCCATTTAGCAGAGCCAAAATAAATTCCCAGCAATATAAATTAAACAATATCCAAAAGGCGCACCTAATGAACACCAAATGCTGTGATAAGGCGCTTTCGACGACATTCGATATTCGATTTAATATCGCTTTTTAACTTCAATTTACACGCTTTTAAGCCCTTAAGTCAAATCGAGCAGGCAAATTAAAAACCAATAAATATTAAATGCCCAAGCTTTAAAATTTTGAAAACATAAACAAATCAAACAAAATCATACTGAAAACTAAAGAGAAAATTGACGTCTTCTTTGAATTGCTTTAAAATATCAAAGCAAGCGTTTGTACTGATAATCAAAAAATACATAGTTTTATTTAGGCCAAAACGAGTGTTCAGCACAAATTGCATTAATCGTGAGAGGCAAAACACAATTTTCGGGAATGTGAGTGGAAAATGTATGAAGGCAAATCCAAAAACAGAATTCCACGAGCTCTCCAAAAGCTATTCAAAACTCACAATTTCTGTTCGATTTCACAGTTCTCCATTGTAATTGGCGAAACACTCAACATACTTTGCCAATCGAGACAGAGCCTGAGTCCTTGAGCTCGCCAAATATTGTTATGCATAAATTTGATTGCATTTTGATTTCAGTTGGATTCGCTCAAGTCCTCATCCCGAATTCCCTTCTTCCGAAAGCGAAACAATTTATGGTGCTCCAAAAATGATTTCCGCCGCTCAGTGCTCAAAAATCAAGGGTTGAGGTTCTGGGCTCTGGGTTCTGATCTAAAGCCTCGGCATCAGCCCCATTATTGTGTGCTACAGTATTTCCATTCAGATTCTGATTCAGATTCCGATTCCGATTCACTTCGACTGCAGCAGCTGCCACAATTCCAGGCCCCAAATGAAGTGACCCCCATCCCGAAACGAAATCTCAACCCAGTTCGACCCTGGCTAGCACGGCATATAAAAACAGTTGCCGTTACAGCCATTTCAAATATGCCGCTGGCTTTTTTGGCATCCGCGACTCCCTTCCGCCCCTTTCGCCCTTCCTCCCACTTTTGTGTGCCAAAAGGGGCGTGGCCCCTGGCAGGCGAACGGCAGGAAGCGAAAATCCAGCAGCAGCAACAACAGCAAAAATGAGCAAAATTATGAGTGCAGAATTTTCTAATTTAACGTGATTATTATTTGCACTATCTTGCCGGGCTCCGGACTCAATTTATTTTAGCGAAAATTCCTGGCCAAGATCACGGAAGTGTCATTAGTCCGGTTTCTGTGCCATCGGCGTAGAGGTATCTATATTGTCAGCAAAATATTTTCCTTTAAACTTCAAATTTAATTAAACGAAATGAAAAGACTCTGAAATTAATTAAATAATAATTACATTTAGCTTAAAAGTTGTGTAAAATATATTGCACATTACAAGACTATATATATTGTATTCTCTTTGTTATTTACTCAACATTAATGATAATTAATTTATTTTTAATCAATTGAAGGCTATACCCATCGAACTACGAATATATGATTCCAATAAGTTATTAAATTGTATTTCAATTGGCAAAATCAGACCAAAAAAGGACATTGTTATAATTGCATACATAACATCTCGACCACTTTCAAATTTTATTTATACTGAAACTATGTGCCATAAGTTTAATTATTAATGAACAGTAAATATATCTTATAACTTAATAGGAATAAGAACTGAATATAAATTGCAATATATTCAAATGCAGAGCCATACACTTAATCCCTACAAAGAGCAGACAATAACAAATTGTTACTCCGAAATGCTAGGAAATGAGTAACAACGAACCATAATAATAACAAAAATATGCTTTGTAAATAGCAATCATCAAATATCCCACTCTAAGTCAGCCCAGAGGATTGTTAATCATGAGTCCCGGGAAATCTTAAGACACTTTTTCCCCCGTTTCCGTGCGGATTGCCGGAATGACTTGTGAGTTGGCTGATGTGCGTCTGCGTTTCTCTGTTTTGTATTTGCTATTTGTGTGGGCGGGAAGGTCGACCTGTGGCACCTCCCCCACCCCCCACGAGCCCCAGGTGTGTGTGTGGGTGTGGGTGTGAGGGGAGGAGGGGGTTTTGGGCACTGATTGGCACTTCATTTCGGCTGCAGTCCGACTCCCAGCTCAGTTGCCAGGTAGTCCCAATCAGCAACCTCTCACGTGCAGCAACAATGGCAACAATAAACTAAGCAAACAACTCGACAAACAGGTGAGAGGGAAATCGGGGAAATCGTGGAAAATCGGGGAATTTGGGGAAGCGGGACCCCAAGTGAGAGTGAGAAAAAGCAGCTCCTTACATATTCAAAAGCAAGGA